GTAGGGATTTATGAATGAAATACACACCTTTTTCAGGATTTAAACTTGACATATTTAAAATTTGAAAAAGGCCCACTTCAATCAACCTCTCGATCAGATCGTAGTTAGGTAATTCACTTCTCGGGATATAAAGGCAATCGTTGATGAGAGCTTCAAAGGCCGAGCGACCTAATGCATATAATTCATCTGAGTAATCCTCAATGTTAAACACCGATTCAACAGACTGTTTTTCACGCATGTGATGAAACAAAGTCTTCACGAATTGAGTGAAGATATCTGCGCGTTTCTTTGGCAGTGCAGTAGACACATAATTAGAAGAAGAAGAGGAATTTGTGCTAGTTTTCTTAGGTCTTGCTGCTCCAGGTAGTTGAAAAAATTTTTAACATCTTCACCATCTTTTAAAAATCTACCAGCGTACTCTTCTTGGCGCTGATCATTGAAGCCGTCTATCTTGAAAACAGCATCACTAGAACCGCTCAACGTCTGTGCTTTCATTTCCCTTGAAGTTATTACAACACAGCAATCTCTTAACTGACTTTTATTCCAGATTTCAAGGACAGGCGATTGCTTTCCCGCAGTGTAAACATACTCATCGAAGCCGTCTAAGATAAGCAAGACTTTTTCTTGATGGCCACGCATGTAGTCATACAGGTTGTCCACGGTAACTGTGCCATCACTAGCCAGCGCTCTGGAAGCCGCCAAAATGGACGGAACATCTCGGAGATCACAAACGTCCCGTAATCTTACCAGAAGAAAAAGATCAAACGCTCCCAACCTTTCTGGAGATCTGTGTTGAGACCAGTCGAACGAAGCTTTCTGTGTGAAAACGGTTTTGCCGATACCTAAGAGATAATGCACAAACTCTCAGCATTTCTTTGCTTGCTCTAGTCAATTAAAGCGGAATCTCAATATTATTCTGAAATGATGTTCTACTCGGTGTTTTGAAAGGACTTTAACAGGAATTTTCAAATAATTATTTCATTCAACCTGTCAATCAATAAATTACTACAGCTAGTATCTGTTCAACTAATTTGGCTTTAATGAAGTTTGATGCCAAAAGAATTTCCATCCGCCTTTACGGGCGCGGTTTGAAATTCTTATCTTTCTTAAAAAGAACAGCACTTTCATTATTCAGTCGTTGTGTACTTACTGTCTCTGTATAAACTGACAAGTTAAATTTCATCCTCATGGCTCAATTCGTTATTTTCTAATGCTTCTGAACACTGAAGTATTATAAAAATAGTAATAACAAGGACCTTATCGATCAACAGAAAAAAGCCAAAATTGGACACTGCACAAACTCTTATTACTCTAGCAAGATAAAAATTGTTCATTATTACAATATTGAAACCACTGCATGCAAAAAACTGAAAACTCTCCACTTTTGAGTTACTGTATTAGAGCAATGTTAGTCCAAACTTTCGGTTCCTTTTGCTACCATTCTAAACTAACTCACTTAGGATGTTATTACTTTAATAGTGAAGAAAAAAAGCAAGTAAATAACGACCTGATCTTTATTTAAATTTATTTATTTCAAGCTTTAATGGGTAAGATCAAGACAGAATAAAATATACAAACATGATAAAAAAGGAAGAAGGAAAGAAAGAATTAAAGCCCAAAACTGGGAAGGGCACGAACGGGACACTTAGACCCATGTGGGGTGCCCACCGTAGGGAAATATAAGAATTCTAAATACAATACAAAAAATAAAATAAAATCTAGTTGTAGTAAAAGAAAAATCTTATTTCAGAAAATTGTCATCTGCCTGTAGAGAAATCTAATGGTAATTTAAAAAATGAAAAATATATAATTATGTATTCAGTTACAGACATGCAGGACATGAGAGATAGACCATGAGCAGACCGTCATCAAAGACAGTCGTTAAAAAAGACTTAAATAAAGATTCATCAAAAATGATTTAAAACAGCTAAGAGAGGTAAAACAAAGCTTCATTGCATAAAATGAAGCTTTGTTGCTAATAATATTTAATATTTAATAATATTTGAAGCTAATATGAGGCTTCAATGTAAGGGGCAGGTCTTGCAGGCCGGACAGTATGATAACAGCCAGCATACTGGCCACAGCGTGTACATGGATGATTGTCAAAAGTTATGTAATATTATAAGTTACCCAGTGGCTATTCGTACGGGACCAGTACACCGAAGTGTATTTGCTATTCATATGGGATCAAGTCTCTTCTTGAAATTTATATGAAATTTCTAAGTCTTTTGAAATTTCTGGTCATTAAATTTCCATGAAAGTGTAACTCTCTTCAACCACTATTCAATTTTTAAGGAAAAAAAAAGTGGCAAATTCTAAAAGGAAAAAAATTCGATATGATACGATTGAGAACTGATCCAGGGGCGTAGAATCTAAAGTTCGTAGCCTAACCACTCTACCACGGAATACCTGCTGCTAGGTAGGGTTTGATTTTTATTCATATAGCAACAGCTGTAACCCTAAATAGAAGCTAACCATTTCGAGTCAGTCCTTAACCCTAATCAGTATGGTCAGTGCTTAGCCCTAATCACTATTTTCATTGCTTAACCCTAATCAGTTTAGTCAGAATCCCGTATGAATAGCAAATACAAGTCGATTTACAGGTCCCGTACGAATAGCCACTGGGTATTAGTTATGTCTATATCAATGTAGCCGTAAAAGACTTTGTAAAAGAAAACAAGATCCTTGATTGCTCTATTGGAAGCAGGAGGCAGCATATCCAAGGCAAGCAGTCCCTCCACATCAGGCATCTGGCCTGGCTTCAAACTTAAAATCCATCTGGTGGCACACCTCTGAACCTCCTGTGTTTTCAGGGATGTCATTAAGAGCCAGGGGGCCAGGGATTTTCCCCCGCTACTAAGAGAGTGGCCCCCGGCTACTTTTATTGGAAAATAGAAGAAAAATAGAACCACAAGAAATGCCGAGCCGTTTGATTCCCCACTTACTTGTTGTATTTACCCGGCAACTTGAAATCTTAGTGACAACCCTGGTTTTTGTTAAGTTTGTTTGTTTTGATGGTGCTATCATACACTTTTACTTTCTGTTAGTTTACTTACTAATTACCTGGCTGTCCATAAACTAAAATTCGCTTTGGTGCAGGATGAGGCTCTCTGCGGACAAAAATCTCAGTGTAGTGGTTAAGTTTTTCTTTTGTCACTCCCTTGGGTGTCCTGTGATCCATAACCCAAGACAGGTCTGTGTAGATCTCATCAATGTGAACGGCGTCTATTTGGTTCCAAGGAACAATTTTGACTCTGTTTTTGGTTTGATAAAGAGACCGCAACTGCTTCTGGCACTCTTCGAGGCATTCAGAATCTGAAAACAAGGATTTGCTTAAGAAATAAGAAATTTTAAGTATCAAACAATGTTTTACACAAAACTCTAGGACTGCAGGGGCACATAACAAATACGGAAAAAAGACTGAGATAAGAAAATATGAGAGTCCACAGTTTCACTACATAACAACTCTTTGAAGAGTGGACAAACGTTTAGAAATGCTGAGAAAGATTTAAAACACTACTGATTATCTATGCACACATTATTTTTGTTAACAACAAAATAACCTAAGAAATTTACAAGACCCACTGTTAAGAACTACTATGCATAAGACAGTTGTGTTGAAGACTGGCAATTTACAGAGATGTCAAGGGATGATTTTATGATCCTTGAGTAGCTTTCTCTCAACAATGAATAAATTTTATATAATGAAAGCCTGAAAGACCTTTGTCAGTTTGCAGTAGAATTTTTAAACTTTGTTTATAGTCACAGTGCAGCATTAGCAAGCATGACAGAAATCGCTACCCTAGAGTCTCAGGGAGGGGATCCTTCTCTGGATTGTGGGAGACTCCACCCTAAAGAGCAGCCTTTTCACCACTTATACATAGACATGAGGGTACAAATAATATATTACTGATGTTTTGGTATTTTGAAGGTCAAGCAAAACTTAGCCATCTAGTGAAAAGGATGTCAGTACAACCAAACTATCAGGAAAAGTGTAAAATTTGGGCGAAAAGACAATGCAAGGACTTCAATGTTCCAATGTTCCTTGTTAGAGGTGTGGTCTGCAAATGTATAGCTCCAGAAAATACTTTTATTACCCTCATGGAAGGGATTGGAAAATCCTGGGGAAGGATGGAGTATCAGCGAGGACCATAAAACAAAAAGAAAGGTACATGTATGAATCCTAATTGGAATTTGCAAAGGAGAGGAGGGGCGGGTGTGGGTTCTTCCAAGACCAAATCCTTTCCATGGGGGATCCAGAATCATTTTCTGGATCTACACTTTAGAGTAATATACTCCTTTGAGTGGTGAAGAGGGTTAGATTAGAGACATGAGGAGGAGGTTAAATTGTGTTTAAGGTCATTATCAAAGGTAGAACACACTTCAGTTATTAAAAACATAAGGGCTAGAAGAGAGGTGTGAGGTTTGAGGTATACTGGTCGTTACTTCTCTACAAAAGTATAAGAGATTGGGTACTGCTTCACAGACTGTGCATATATGAAAAGAAGTGGTTGCATTAACAACAGTATTAACAAATAAATACTTCAGTTTTACTTAGAAGAGTTATACCTGGTGAAGTGAAGGACGCTTTGTTAGCTGACAAGTCTGCAAAATAAATTAGAAAACATTAAAGAGTTGACCTGTTTTGTTCTCTAAAACTAAGCAGACTTGGCCATAAAACAATTTTTTTTATTTTCTCGCAGTTTTCTGGGACTAGGATCAAGGAATTTTAAAGACTATTCTCAGAAAACTTTAGCTGTCTCACATACTGCTGGGCAGTACTGTTAGTATACACAGGAAATTGAGGGGGACTGGAAATCAGTACAATATTATTATAGCACATTAGGTCAGTACAAGTTTGTGGTAGTCCATGTACTTTGTAAACTTTTTCACTAAAACTGCAACCTTTTTCCACAAATATATACATAAATATATCTCAGCAGAAAATTCACTACTAATAAACAAACAGCAAAAAGAGGTGATATACCTTCATAGTGAGGTCACTCTTTGAAAACAACTGGATCATTTAACATGTTGGACACAAGAGAGGCTGCCATGATGGAAGCAAATGACTTCCAGAAATCATTAGAAGCATTGCCATCATTGGAAAAATGAGATATCCCTTTAACAATCACCCATTCAATCTTCCTATCTTGGGCTGCAGCAAACAGTCCTATAAATAGAACAACAAAAACAAATCAGAACAAACATAATGTAAATTTTTTCAGGTCTCAGAGGTCTAAGTTTTCCAGACACCAAAATAACATTAAAGACATTGTGGGAGTTTATTTTTGGATGTCGTTGTACTAGGCATATTTGAAGTTTTTCATGTTTATTAGAGATGTGTGAGTAGTGCAGTAGTGTTGGATATTTTAGGGGTTGGTTGAGATGTGTGAGTGGAAGGTGTGGAGTTATATTGGACGTGGATTGACAAGATAATGCCTGTAGTTTGTTAATCAGTGAAACTGGTTTCCCATAGAATTTGATATGAAGTAACAAAAGATAATTTTTTTGGAAGGTAAAAGTGATTAATTTTAGGTGAGGTAGTTGTGGGAGTGCATGCTATTGGTTATATGAAGGGATACTGTAGTTACACTCTGCTGAAATGAAGTGGTCGACTTGTAAAGGATCTTATCAATGGTCGAAAACATACTTGTTCTTATTTTAAAATTTAATGTTAATGGGCTTTCTGTTTTTTGGATGGTGTTTTTTGGCTCTGTTTGATATTGGATAGCTTTAGATTCTAAAACAAGGATGACTATGAGAACAAGATTTTTCCAACACTAAGTAGTGTGGGCATGTGGGTGAACCAATGTCATTTGGGCGGGAAAATGTGATAGCCATTATCATTCTACTACGTATTTTACTGAGAATGTCGTAGTGGAGAAACAAATAATATTATCAAATGTTAGAAATTTTATCATTTAGCGATCAGAAAAGGGCCAACAACAGAAATAAGCATAACAACTTGTGAGGTGAAAAAAAGTACATATGAAGCTTTAATTTTCCGAAGTGTCTATTTTTAAACAATGAGCAAGAAATGTGTGCTTAATCTTAATCACTTAATTCACTACTTAAGGATTACATAGAATAACCTCCACCTGAGGCAGAGTAAAATAGAAAAGTGACCTATTTAAAAAAGTTAAACTGGTATAAAATAATAAAAACAGTTTAAAAATTTTGAACTGGTTCAGAAAAAATTTAAACCAGTAAAAAAATTGAACTACAACATAGACAGGGGAAATCCCCCCAGGCCTAAGCCTTAGACAGCCCTGACATGAACTGCAAGAAATGCAGAGGTAAATCATGAACGGCTCCCAGAGGGGTACTTCCTTATAAGAGGCTAATGGGGATGTGCCGCTGGATGGGGTCACCTTTTTACGACTGGACTGACTAAAACAGGTCGCATTTTCAATAGAGTTATTAGAATGGGCTCACACATTTTTGGATTTTTTGAAAAATGGACCCTGGGAACTGCTAGCAGACCAGGGTGGGTTTATAGCACTGTGAAGGAAACAATCACTCCTGGCCAATCATTCCTTCTTTTTGCTTTGGCTTAACTATAAAGAATAATTCTTGGTTTCCTGCACTATGCACCAACAAAACCATCAGCTGTAATCTGGCTACAAAGGGTAATACGATTGACTTAATGACATTTAACTGACAATTCTTACCTCCACCACCCCTTTCGAATCCAACTGCTTTAGAAGAGTCTGACATACATTGCCGTTTAGCACTGATTGGGTCTGTGCCACTAATAATCTCCCCATCACAGCAGACTTGAACTTCATGAACTTCTGGACTTGTTAACGGAGGAGTCCAACCATCATCTGCATGCTTGACAAGCTGCATGATACCTCTTCCTACTGGGGTTTTAAATGCTTCAGTTGTGAGCTTAGAAGAAACCACCACATCACCTAGCTGTAACTTGGTGAATTCTGGGTTTAACCCCTCCAAGCAGCCAACAGAGAAAACAGCTTTGGGTCTCAGTCCCACCACAGCATTCTTAACAGTGACTAGAGAGCCACCTGGCACAGAAGAACCTTCAGAACATCTCATCAAAGCAACTTTAAGTGGGACATCTCCACTTTCACCCATGGTTCCAAAGTACACAAATCCAAGATTCTGCTGATAACTTTTAATAGGATTTCTCAGGAATGTATAACAGGCCAGGAACTCACAGTCCTCCACTGTCATCAAAAGAATGTCAACTGGGAGTTGAACATCACTCCAAGGTTTTGATACGTTAGGAAGGTCACTTTTCTTTGGCAGTTTAATACTGAGAGTTGGAACATCATCTCTTGCTGGCTGATCATGAGCACTCTCTCCTTTCTGTTTACGCACTTGATGTTGAGCCATTTTGTCTCAGTTAGATGTACATAAATGCCTTAAAATGTCAATAAATAAGGTCACAGAATTATACACACTATGTCTGAATATATTATTTATTTATTACTTCTACTCAGTAATAGAAAAGAAAAGAGCCTGCTAACTAAATTTTAGCTAAGCAGGTGAGGGACCATTCATGGCCAGCAAGGAGCGAGGAGGAGTGAGTCGTGAAGGGGGTAATGAAGTGAGGGACATGGCCCTACCCTCGCTGGGAAATTTAGGAGCTAAGTTCTCTGAAACATCACCCTCATTTTAAGACCTATTTTACACAAATTGGTCATTGTTATATATCTTTAAACAACAATTTAAAATGTTTGATTCCAATAATTTTACTCTGTCTACAGTGTCCTCTTTCCAAAATGAATGGTCCAAAGCTGTGTATATTTTGTAGTTAATTTTTTAATCTCAGGTAATTTTTGTTTTTCTTTTGTTTTTTGGGTATGTTAATGTATCTTAATGAAGTTTACAGAACAGAAAAATAAATTACCTGAGATAAAAAATTAACTACAATTAACATATACTTTAGTACTTTTCCATATATGTTTATTCATTTTCCTTGTGAGAATTGGATCAGATCAAAACTTTCTTCTTTTTTTTACTTTTTAAAATTTAATTAGTAAACCTTCAAGCGGTAATTAAGAAGTGTTGCTTCAGATGGTAAATTTTACCGGTTACCGCCTGATAAGAAGAACACTGAAAGTGAGTCCCAAGTACAGCAGGGCAAAAAAAGAAAATCAATGAGCCAAAAGGAGCCAAGCATGGCCTCGAGGAGAAAAAAGGTGGGGGACACCATAGACTTTGTATCTTTCACCCCTCCACTTAGGAGCCAGCTGTTTGCAGGCTCAGATAAAAAACATTACATGGATCATAGTAATTTATGGTACCCAACATAACTAGCACGTGGCAGCTGAAAAGCTTTGCAGCTGTAATTGGGTGTTGTATGCGGCTGTCTTTTAAGACCTTAACCTTCTTCAAGGATCGAGTCATGTTAAAAAAAAAAATGTCTGAACAAGTTCATGTTCTTGACAACAAAATCCGGAAACAATAAAATCAAAAAACCCCCATTTATGACTTCTCTCTTCAGATATAATCAGTAATTTATTATAATCATAATATTCACAGGCATAGCATGAGACTTTGAAGGTGCATGCACCACAAAAAAAATATATTAGAACTAATCCTCCAGAAAATTTTTGAAATTAGGGTCTCAAAAATGCCATTTCTTGCTTTTTTCACATTTTCATTAAAATTAATGAAATAATACGAAGGAAAATGCAGTAGTTAGTTGCTTATTTTACCAATCTCTTAGTGCTATCGGTAAGGTACAGTGTTTGTGGAAAAAAGGGTAAAACAGCGACCCCATCAAGGAGGTTACAAAAGCAAAAGGTGAGACCTCCGTACCCTACAGATGGGCAAACTCCATTACAACGCCATCAATATCAACATGTTTGTTCTTATTTATTTGCAAAATAATTTGTAAGACGGCTCAATCTCGCATCTCTCATCCCACATTAATGTTTCTTACCATCAGTTTATGGAATAAAAAAAGGATGAAGAAAATAATAGTGACCCCTTTTTTTAAAACCCGCACCGTACCATTCTTAAAATGAGTAAGTTCATAGCTGATGGTCACATGACCAAAATATGATTTTTAAAATTATGAATTACCTCTGTCTAAAGACAAATATTGCACTTAAACAGGGCTTGAAATAATTTCCGGAGAGTCTCCAGACATGAATGACAGGCCAAATTTATTTTTGCTCAGTCACATATCCGTTCTGGCCAGGTCAAATTTATAAGATAAATTAAACTCTTAAAACAGGGGCCCATGAACCAAAACAGTTACTGGTATACAGTGTACTTCCAATAAAGTTGTTGCTTAGAGCTTACAGCACTTTAAAGCACTCATTGTCAACAATGAAAATAAATTATCGGATTACCCAAGGTCAAGGTCAACTTTCCAAAATTTGGAAAGTACATTTGTGATTGGCTAAGCTTGGGAAAGGAATGTTGTTCTCGGTGGAGCAGGCACGGGAGGTTACTGAAATAACTGAACAGCAAGGAAATTTTAATTTATTTCATTTTCAATATGATTGAACGAGACAGATCAAAATGACTGGCAAGACGAAGGGTTGACCAATCAACTCCCCAAATGCAATCAGTTTGGACATTGTTTGTTGACCGGCGGCTGTTATATGGAGCCCTGTTAAACTTCAAGGAAAATGTTGAAAAGATGTTGTGGTAATGTTAACAGCACATCTAAGCGTAACTCTCAAATGCTTAACAAGATGCAAGCAAAAAGTAGTTTTGCTTCAATTCCAACATGGTGGTAGATACAAATCATACTACTTTGTTGAAAAGTCAAAGTGCGACAAAATATTTTTTATGTGCTTTGTCAATTTTTGGCATCAGCAAGATTTCAACTCCTTGCTTAAAGGAAGCATTGGTCACGTCACAGATTAAATAATACAAGAGGCCTATTTCTCAAACCCATAGTTTTTGAACCTCTTAATAATTGTCAGTAACAAATGCAGGTTTTTATACCTGCTGTTTTGAATCTCCCAGTAAACTGTTAACCAACTTCCTTGTCCCCACAAGTATTGAAAAATCG